GTAATTTAAGTTATTTAGCTGAGATGTTGAATGTTGAAAAAGCTCGACAAACAACAAAGTCGGAAAATTCTGATACAGCATAAAAAGGAACTGAGCAAGGATGCATTTCTGGACGATTTTCATTTGTTTTTGCTTTTTAGCAATTTTCAATTAAATTTAAAACATAATTTTAATTAATTTTCCAGGAAAACTCAATATATCAAGATTATGTAAAAGTATGATTTCACTAATATTCAGACACATTAAATAAATCATGAGTCAAATAAGTTTATCTTAAACAAGAAATATTCGTTGCCAGCTTTATATCAACGTACTTCTCACAATAAAATTCTACACATAGACGATTTCAAATATTTTTACCTTTAGCATTCCAATTTAATTTTAAATTTCAACGCGTCAGTTAGAATTGAAGATCTTCCAGGATTCTGCCATAATATAATATAGATTACTATATTTGCCAAAATGCCCTTAAATCTTTCAAAACCACAGCGGGGCTTATGTTACTTTATTATAGATGATTTTTATATTATAACTAAATATATGTACGTATATATGCATGTAAGAACACGGATGCAGATTATATTTATAAACACAATGTTTACACATGTATCTTCACATCAACATATATTAAATCAGTCTATCCTTGCATTAACATGACACGGGAACCAAAGCACACAAACTACAGATAAATAAATTTATAACAACAAGGTGACTGTAAAATTATAAATGAATCATATCCACCAATATCGCTCACACATAAAACGACACACTGTCAAACATGAAGTAGTTTTATATAGAGACACAAGAGAATGGAAACTTCTTATCTGTTTCTGTATTTTTGAAAATACAAACTTATTGCTGGTACATGTAATCAAATTTAAACAAAATGGACAGAATATTTGAACCATTAAAAGTTATTATCACAGAATAAAAAATTCAATTATAACAATATCACATAATGAAATTACTTAAAAATGCTTATGTTTAATGAATTTAAAATAACTTTGTTTAAATGGATGCAATAATAGCTGCGTTTCAGCAAACATGATCCGCTCAATGATCTGGATCATCTTTGCTGAAACGATACGGATCACATTTGAAAATAATTGGCAACGCATGAAATATGCCAGTTGGGTTTGTGCACAAAATTTTTTGATTTATGTGAATAATTTTGGCGCTAAAAAAATAAGTGAGAAAATTTTGAATACAAAAAATCTAAAAAATGGAAAATAAATAAAATCTGTTGAAATGTCTGAAGTATGAAATGTAAGTTTTTATTTAGTATTTACTTTAAAACTTATATTTAATTTTATAGTAAATAAATGAAAATTGCAGATTTTATTAGAATCATCGAGCAAAACTGACTCTTCCATTCCCTTTTTAAATACTAGTTCAAGTGTATTAAGCTCAAGGGATGAAGTGCATCAGCATGGATATAGTGGAAGTTTTGTGGAAATGATCAATAATTCTTCCGTTAAAGATTATTTGATTGGTATTTGCGCATAAAAAATACAATTGCTATATATTAATTATGTTTCATTTTTTAATAGATTTGTTAATAAATTCCAATCAGCGAATGCATAATAACCGTGATGATCACAATCGGACGAGAGCAATGAAGGAATTTTATATATTTTTGTGGTATATGGCAAATATGATACTTTTTGCGAATTTGGTATTTGTTTTGGCATACCAAGAGCTTCTGTATAGAGAATAATTAAAAGAACTAGTGTTTAGCGTATATCAATTGGACACTAACTTATAAAATCCGCACTTGCTAATAATGCAAAAGTGGAAACTTCGAAAAAATTTCCGTTCGTAATTGGTTGCATAGACAGTACACATGTAAATATAAATGCACCACACCATAGCAAATAGGCTTATTTCAAAAGAAAGCATGACTATGGCTTAATCTTGCAGGTAGTTTGCGATGAAAATGGTTTTTTTATAAACGTTTATGTTGGAGAGCCTGATTCCTTATGTATTGTTCTGTTTTAATTAAATAAATGTATTCAACTTCATTTATATATATTCATTTCAAATTAATTGATTTTAATAAATTATCAAACAACACTTTTTCAATAATAATAAAACGTAAATAGCATTACGTTCCTAGATTAGGTTCTATACATAAGAAAGAACAAATCATGCAACAAATAATGCCTCTACGAACAGAATAGTTTTGAAATTTAACAATTAAAAATAAAAATATAATTAATTAATTAATTCAATTATTCTACAGCTGGTTTATGATTTCGTTCTAATATATAAACACAGCAAGTAAAATTGTTAATAAAAACTTTCATAGCAAAAGTAACAAAACTCCAGCAAAAATATGCGAACATAAAAAGTCAAGTACGGCTTTAGATCAGTTGGTTAAGGTGCGCTGATTCTGAGCTTCATATTTGGCAGGACCCGAGTTCGATTCCTGGTACTTGCAGTCTCAAAAAATAATTATTTACGAATAATTAAATATATGAATTATTTCCAAGACCACTGATGAAGGGTATTTGGCAATACTCGAAACAGCTGTATGGTCAGCCAAAAATTCAATTAATTAAAATAATTTAAAAAAATAAATTTTTGTTGTTGTTTCACTTCTGTTCGAAAACCTCTTTATGTAAATAAATAAAGTAATAATTTTAATTATAGTAATAGTTAAAATATTACTTTAAACAAAGAAGTAAATAATAACGACATATTAAATAAATAATTACATAAAATAAATAATAAATAAATAAAAACAAAAATAAATAAATATAAATGTAGATTTGTTAATAATTTTACTGCACCGTTGCATCCCATTACCAACCTCATTTGTATTAAAATGCGTTCCACTTTTATCTTTTACATACATTCCACATTGAACCAGAAAGTGAACCAGATCAATTGCTGGTTCACCCCATTGTTTTTGTTTTTGTAGTATATTAGATCATGACAACTCTGTATAAAGAAATAGATAAAAAAGGAAAAATACAAAATGCATTGTTGTTCGTCGTTGTGCTAAAAGGAGTAAGCGTGCCGTGCCGTAATTATTATTATTATTAATAGCAATTTGTAAATCTATATAACTTTAATCAATAAAGTATATTGTATTATATATAAAGAATATAATAAAATTTGGCGAAGAAGATAAAACATTAAAGGATGGCGAAGAATTTTGGTGAATTAAGCCAATATAACGTGGCGTCGGGGAAATGGAAAACATACATGGAACAAATGGAATTTTTCTTTGTTGCAAATGACATCACAAATGCAAAAAAGAAAAAAGCGATCTTTTTAGCCCTTTGTGGGACGGAAACCTACACGATATTAAAATCGGTTGCCACACCGATTAACATTTTAGAGGAAAAATTTACATTTGAGGCGGCAACTAAATTATTGACTAGTTATTTTTGTCCGGCAGAGAATATAATAATACAAAGGTTTAAATTTTATCGGAGAAACCAAAAAGAGGACGAATCAATTACCGAATATTTGGCAGCGCTAAGGGAATTGAGCCAAGACTGCAATTTCAATGATTTGGACGAAATGTTACGAGACAGACTAGTCTGTGGCATGCGCGATGAAAATTTACAAAAGCGGCTTCTGGCGAATGACCAGTTAACATTAAAAATAGCGCAGGAGGAAGCTATAGCATCAGAAACAGCACAAAAAATGCGACGGAACTTAAAACGTCAGCCAGCCTGCCAGGGTTGAATAAAATTTCAAGCAACAAGGTAAACCCAAATCGTGCTCCAGTGGACCATATTCAGAATTGTTATCGTTGTCGAGGAAATCATCATTCAGATCAGTGCAAATTTAAAGACGCGGAATGTTATTATTGCAAAAAGCGTGGACGTATTGAGAGAGCTTGCATAAAAAAAGCAAAAACCAAAAAGTCAGCAACAAATAATGAGAGAAGACCAAACAGAGTAAATCTTTTAGATACAAACCAGGAAACTCAAACGAAGGAGTATTTATAGTCAATCTTCGCTAAAGGTAGTCCATCGGTCAAGAGAGTGATTACGATAAGTAAGTCACCGGTACAAATGGAAATAGACTCGGGGGCAAGTTACTCAATAGTAAGTGAAAAGTTATTTAGAGAAAAATTGCCGTATATTGCGCTAAAACCAAGTCAAATACAATTAAGAACTTGGGGAACAGAGAAAAATCTTAAAAAGAGTGGAGAAGCAGAAGTACCAGTCTCGGTTGGGAACGTCACAAAGAAACTAAAGTTGTTAGTAGCAGCGGGTGATGGTCCGGCTCTAATTGGTCGAAATTGGTTTAACGATTTGGGAATTACTATAACTAGCAATTTATGCAATAAAGAATCAACTATTCCAGTAGAAGTGATGAACTTCAGTTCAGTTTTTGATGGAAATCTTGGAGATTACAAGGGAAATCCTGTGAAGTTACAAATGTCAGTTTCAAGTAAACCGAAATTTCTTCGATATCGACAAGTGCCTTTTACACTAAAACTCAAGGTGGAAGCAGCATTAAAGAAGTTGGAAGATGAAGGCGCACTGCGTTCAATATCCTTTAGTGAGTGGGCAACACCGGTTGTACCTATTATTAAACCAGATGGTAGCATACACATTTGTGGAGATTATAAGTGCACAGTGAATCAAATGCTTTGCAAGGAAACGTATCCATTACCTACTAATACAGAAGTGCTAGCAACATTAGCAAATTGTAAGTGGTTTACAAAGCTGGATTTAGATCGAGCGTATACACAGGTGAAGGTTGACCAAGAATCAGCAAGGATACTTACATTAAACACACATCGCGGACTTTTTGAAGTTACAAGATTACCGTTTGGAATTTCAACGGCACCAGGTATATTTCAACGGCTGATGGAAGGAGTTCTTAAGAACATAGATGGTGTGATTATTTATTTAGACGACATTCTAATTGGCGGAACAACTTTGGAAGAGTTGTGGGATAGAACACGAACTGCTCTGAAATGTGTACAGGATGCAGGATTGAAGCTTAAAAAATCAAAATGTGTTTTCGCAGTACAAGAGATAACATTTTTGGGGTTTAAGATAAGACGAGAAGGAGTGCGTCCAACTGACGAAAAGGTGAAGGCAATAGCTCAAGCACCAGAACCAATAAATAAACAACAGCTACAAGCTTTTCTGGGGTTAATTACATTTTATGATAGATTTTTACAGAATAAGGGCGATCTACTGGAACCGCTGTATCAACTATTAAGAAAAGAGATATCTTTTAAATGGGGTAGAGAACAGAAATTAAGTTTTGAACGAGCAAAGAAACTACTACAATCAAAAAATCTGTTGGTGCATTATTCGGGTGACTTACCACTGATATTATGCAGAGACGCATCACCGTATGGAATTGGCGTGGTTTTGGCACACAAGATGCCGGATGATAGTGAAGCACCGATTGCTTTTGGCTCCAGAACATTATAGGGCGCGGAACGAAATTATTCACAGTTGGATAAAGAAGCGCTAGCGATTATGTTTGGTGTGCAAAAGTTTCATCAATTTTTAAGTGGTAGACAATTTACAATAATGACTGATCATAAACCACTAGTGGGATTATTCAACCCAGAAAAACCAATATCACAGCATATATCACCCAGAATGTTAAGGTGGTCGTTAAAGTTAGGCACTTACCAGTACGAGATTAAATTCCGAGAAGTGAAACATCACCAGAATGCAGATGCATTGAGCCGGTTACCTTTAAATGATGTAAAGCTACAAATACCGGAAATACGTGACATATTATATTGCAATGAGTCTGAGGAACAGTTTTTAATCACTGCGAAAGACATTGCACAAGCAACCAGAAGAGATCCTGTACTATCAAAAGTAATGTGGCATATCCAAAGGAAAGATACAGTTTTGCCATATAAATCAATCCAGTTTAAACCGTTTGTGAATAAAATCCAGGAACTATCAGTGAATGCACAATGTTTGTTATGGGGAGCCAGGGTAATAATACCAGTAATACTACGTCCCAGAATACTTGAGATGTTGCACGAAGTTCATCAAGGCATGTCGGCAATGAAAGCAGTTGCGCGAAGCTATTTTTGGTGGCCTGGTTTAGATGAAGATATAGAAATGGTAACCAGACGTTGTGAAAAGTGTGCATGTAACAAAAAGAATCCTCCAGTAGCGGCAGGTAAACCAGCAACGCTAAGGCCATGGTCCCGATTATATATTGATTATGCGGGACCCTTTATGGGTACAAATTTTTTTATCGTCGTAGATGCTTATAGCAAGTGGGTAGAGGTAAAAATAACCAGTACAATAAATGCGATTAGAACAATCGAGTTAATGAGAGAAATATTTGCAACACACGGAATACCAGATACCATTGTGTCCGATAATGGGCGAACGTTTGTGTCAGAAGAATTTGAGAAATATTTAAAACTTAGCGGTATAAGGCACATACGTACGGCACCGTATCATCCATCGTCAAACGGGCAAGCAGAAAGGTTTGTACAAACCATTAAGAATCACCTGAAGAAAATGCAATCTTCAGACATCAATAAGAATTTGGCAAATATACTTTTGCATCTGCGTACAACTCCTAATGCAAATTCAAATTCGAGTCCAGCAGAAATCTTGATGGGAAGGAAATTGAAAACATTGTTAGATCATTTGCACCCCAGTGATGACAACACTCAGAAGCAGCTAAATTCTGATGAATATCAAATAAAACCAGTTCGCAGTTTCCAGTATGGTGAAAGTGTTTGGTACCGAAATTTTTGAAGAGGTGAAAAGTGCATGCCAGGGATTATACAATCAACAGGAGATCGCAACTACAAAATTCAATCAAATAGTAACATATTGTCGAGACATATTGACCATTTGCATAAGCGAGTTTCGGAGACACCGACAAGTTTAGAATCCAATATAACTCCAGTAGCAGTAACTTCAGTGGCACAACCGGAAGAGCAAGACGACCAAGTAAGTGCAGGTCATTCATCAAATGAATATATCCTTTTTTTTTTTTAACGAGGTGTAAAGCATCGAAAGCCTAGTCAGTGCGAGACTTTAACTCACTAAAGTCACCCCGATGTCCGACGGTTAGCCCTCTCGGGATCACCGATTTGGTATTTCGTCAAGAGGCCGTCCAGAGCACGAAGCTCAAACGTCAGTTTTTGTCGTCATTTCATTATATCCATTATCGTTGCAGTGATACATGCACTGCAGCTGTTCTTCTTTCCTCTTCCTGCAGTCGCAAACGCCGCATAATTTGAGTTGCGGATGTTTTAACTGCTTTCCATTTAAAGCTACTTGAGCACATTTCGTGTACAATGCTGTTAGGAGATGGTAGATATCCTAGGGCTTCCACAAGTATTTCCCGTTCTTCATTAAACCGTTCGCAGCTAAAGGCTACATGTTCTGCACTTTCTACGACGTTGTGGCAGTTTGGGCAGTATGGACTATCTGACAGATGAAATCTGTGGAGATATTCTAAAAAGCCTCCGTGGCCGCTCAATATTTGAGTCAGATTATACTCAATTTCACCATGTTTTCTTAACACCCATTCCTTAATGTTAGGTATAAGTGTATATGTCCAACGTCCCTTAGAGGACTGCTCCCATCTTTGCTGCCATTCTCTAAATGAATATGCGCGTTCGGCAGATTTTTGATCTATCGTAGGTGTTATGCCTTGCCCGCCATAAAGACGGCTTAACTCTTTTGCATGTACATATGTCAACTGGTATTTTTCCAGCAATGACGCAGATTGCATCATCAGAGACTGTTCTATAAGCGCAGGCAACCCGTAACGCACTGCGTCTGTATATTTGTGCTACCAGACGTAGCTGATGCTTTTTTGCTGCTGCCCATATAGGAGCAGCATAAAATATAATAGAGTCCGTTACAGTAGATAAAAGACGCCTTCTTTCGCCCTGAGGACCACCTGTATTAGGAAGAATTCGCGTTAATGCACTATTCACTGCCGCTGCCTTAGAGCTTACTGCTGTAAGGTGCTGTTTGAAGCTCAGTCTTGCATCGATTATGACTCCAAGGTATTTTATTGCTTCTTGCGATAATATTTCATGCCCGCCAATTATGATTTTCATCTTCTTTTTCTGCTTTCTTGCGGTTATCAGTACTGCTTCTATTTTTTGCACCGCCAACTCCAGTCCTGCATTTTTAAGCCATCGTTGTACTCTTGCTGCTGCATCGTTACATTTTGCTTCTAAGTGATCAAGCTTTTTGTCAACCACCACTAGTGCGATGTCATCAGCGTATCCAACTATTGTCACTTTATCAGGAAGTCTTATTTTCAGGATTCCATCGTACATAGCGTTCCACAATGTGGGTCCAAGAACTGATCCTTGTGGAACCCTGCCAGTGACCTCATATTGTTTTCTACCTTTTTCTGTGTCATACTGCAGTATTCTATCGTTAAAGTAACTGCAAATAATGCGTACCAAATAATCAAGTACTTTCAGAGTTTTGAGTGCCAGTAGTATCTCAGACCAATTTGCTGAATTGAAAGCATTTTTAATGTCTAGCGTGATGACTGCACAGTATTTCATTGCAGTATATCCTCCGCTGGTAGCTTCCTTTGCAATATTTGTTACCGTTCTAATCGCATCTACCGTTGATCTAGCCCGCCGGAAACCGTTCTGCTTATCAGAAAGGCCATTGGGACCTTCCAGATACTGCTGGAGACGTTCACTTATTATTCGTTCAAAAACCTTCCCTATTGTGTCCAACATACGACCCAATATACGACCCAATGTTTGCATCACTTCTTCTGATGTCACTGGTGGTATGTTGGTATTCCAATTCACCTGAAACACCTGATCGGTCATTTTCTCCTGTGGAGGAAAAAGTGCCAGAACAACTTCCTTCAATAGAATTGGGCATGTGGGCTGTGGGGACCTCGGTCCTTTTACTTTCTGCATGACGATTTTGTAAGCCAGACCCCATGGATCTTCATCAGCACTATCTCGCATTTGCTTAAAGCATCGATTTTTGCTCTTTTCAATTGCTTTTTTAAGATCATGTTTTCGAATGCGATACTCTGCATATAGCTCATTGAAAGAAATATGTCGTCTAGCTCTTTGCGCTTTTCTTCGTGCTTTTATACAGGCTCTGCGAATATCAGCTATCTCGCTAGACCACCAATAAAGTGGTTGTCGTTTGCCACTATATTTGCATCTTGGCATAGATATATCACACGCAGTTTCCATTTGTATAGCTATTTGTTCCGCCATGTTTTCTGCTGTTGTTTTGGAAACTTGAGCATCCTCCCATACTATAGAAAAAGCTTCTGAATTGAAGGCTGATGGGTTCCATTTTTTCTGCCGCACACTTTTGTCTACTTGCTGGTTTACCGTGCTGCGTACTTCCAACATTATAGCCCTGTGGTCACTGTGAGTATAAATGGATTCCTCTACTTTCCATTTTGTGTTGTTTGCTGTGACGCGATCTGCAAAGGCCAAGTCAATTATTGATTTACCTCTGACGCAGTCGAATGTATAAACTCCAGGAGTATTCAGCAATACCAGATCCATTGCGGAAAATGTTTCCTCTAACAGTCTTCCTCTTGGGTTTGTGTATGTACTGCCCCAAGTTGTTGACCAAGCGTTAAAATCTCCAGTAATGAGAATAAGACGCTTCCCTCGTAATTCTAGTTCCATTGCAACCATCAAACGCTCAAAGTCTTCTAGAGACCATCTTGGTGGAGCACAGCAGCTCACCTGATACAGGCCTTCCATCTTCGAGATATATACCCTTTGTCTAGCATTTCTAGGTTTTTTTACCTGCGCTTGCTCGCCGATTGCATCAAGTAATTCTTCGTCTGTGTTCAGGTTTGTTATTAGGTCTCTGCACTGAATTGTAACGGTATGTGTTTTAAGATTGACCGTTGCAATAGATTCCAAGGCTTTTTCAATAGCAGAGTGGTAATCGCTTGACCCTCCATCTTTGCTCCTCTTTAGTTCTATGAGAAGCCCTCCATTTTGAGTTGGCCGCATGGTTCTGACATTTTCGCTCAGAGCTTTGAGCTCTCCACTGTCTTTCACTTTCTTTAGTATGTCCGCATATGTCGTACCATCCACCTTTTTTTCTATAAGAATTGCATCCGCTTTAGGTCTTATAGATCTTATCTTATTTTTGACTTTCGACGATTTTTCTTTTTTCTCGACTTTTGTCCATTTGTCAGACGGCATCTGCAGAGAAACTGTGTCAGCTTTTGTTTTCATGGCAGTGGGCGTATTGCGTTCCTGCTCCGAGCCTTTAGGGCTTAAGTCCACTCTCTTTCTTTTTTTTGGTGGTATTTCTATCGTTTCAGTCACTGTTGCTGGTAGCTTGCGTAACTGTTTTAGACCATCGGTTGGTCTGGATTTTCTTCTTTCGGAATCTAGCTCCGTACTAAGCTCCGTGTGGGTGCGTTTGATTATGCTGCACATTTTCCTGATATCACCGTGAACATTGCGGCGTGGTTCGACATATTGTATTAGTCCATCTATTTCTTTTCATAAGCGTTCAATTAATTCACTTATGGTAAGTACGGACTCGCCTGTAGCCACTGCTGGTAATATCAGTCTGTGCTGCGATTTTTTGTTTCGCCGTGCTGTGGTGACATTTTCAGTGTGAGCGGTTTCTGATTCTCCATTGTTTGGTTGCAACTCTGTCATTGTTAGTGCACCTTTTGTCGTACAACTGCTCGGTGCTACTGTTTGTGAAGGGGACCTCTCACTCCCGGAGTTCCTCTTCGGTGGTTCTATTTGTGTTGTGTGCATTATTGTGCTATTTGTTTCTTCTTCGTTTTTATGTTCTGTATTATATATATTTATCATTTTATATGGGCCCCAACTCGCAGCCGCTATCTCCGCACGTGCATGTAGTTTCCGTAAGTCTTATGGTAATCTATGTAAACAGGGAGGCCATACGAGGGTTGACTCTGGTCCTTATGGAATCCAGAGTTCAGAGATAGACTTCAATCCGGAATTAATAGGGAGTACTCTCAACCTAACCTACAAGGTCATCAACAAGATGACTACGCGCATTGAGCGCTATGTGAGACTTGCCAAGTTTTCGTGGGACGGAAGAGGCTACGGATCCTTCTGAGAGCCATTTTTGCAAGATTTCACTCCGCATACTCAGGTAACAGAGATTCGCAACCCCAGCCCATAACAAACTGTGTTTTCAACCTTATTTTCCGGTATGCCATAATCAGGAACCTTACCGGTCTCGGTTCCGATGCCTAACCATAGACTTGTACAATATTTTTCTACATTCCAACGGTGGTGCTTCAGAGCCATTTTAAGAATGGTAATAGGCGCTGTACACTTCCATCTCCCACGGTGGTGCATTAGCCGCCCCCAATAAAGAAACTGTCGCTGTGCACATTTAGATCCCACGATGCCACCCCGGGGTGGGGGACGCTTACTGAAAGACGGCGTCTACTCGTCTTGTCACAGGGGCTTCACAGGGTCATTGTGATCTTTTACACCACACCCTCCGACGCCTGCCGGAATTTAGTCGCCTTTTACGACAGGCATGCCTTACCTCGGGAATATTCTAACCCCTATCCCGCAGGGGATGAATATATCCTACCAGATAGTCAAGTAGAGGGGTCATTAGAAGAAAAAGATAAAAGAGATGAAACATTAAAATCGCGACCGCACCGGCAGAGGCAACCGCCAAAAAGGTTAAGGGACTATTTGATGGGAGAGGAACTGTAGTATATTCGATCATGGCAACCCTGTATAAAGAAATAGATAAAAAAGGAAAAATACAAA